AATGAACAAAGCAAACAAAAGGAAAACGAGCAACCACAACTCCAAATAACGTCCATGTTCAAAAAGGAGCAGGAAGAAGCATAAGCTTATTTAATCCCACCCCTTTTCCAATATCTAGTATCAATAGACTACAGAAATACCTCCTTGCAATTACATTATATGTTATGTGTAATTTTTTTTATTTTTTTTATTTACAAATTATTATCTTATTAATTTCAATTAAATCCTATTTTATTTAAGAAGTGCCAAATCACAACAGCAGTCACCTCAAGGTGCTTTATATTGTAGGGTAAGACCTGTAATAATACAGAGAAACCCCCAAAATCAGACAACTTTCTTTGAGCAAGTGCTTGGTGACAAGGGGAAGGAAAACTCCCTCTTAAATGGAAGAAAGTTCCAGAAGAACCAGGGTCAGGGAGGGGCAGCTATCTGCCGTGACAAAGACACACTGTGGAAGAGAGCCAGAGATCAAAATTAAAATTAGATTAATACAAAAGCATTTGAAGTGAGCAAGGTCTCCACTGGTCTCTAGCACTACCTTTATATTGGATGATATATAATCTAGATTTGTTTTAACCAAGTATGATAGACTTATTGATCATTTTATCACGGGAAAATACATGGATTTCTCTTTTATGTGCAAAGGTTCAGCCTGTGCACATCCATGAGCACCTTTTTTTAAATGACGCCCTTTAATTGTGAAATCCTCTGAATAATACTTAAAGAAAAGTGGACAACCCGGGGAATGTTGCAGTGAGAAGCTGCATGCTAACCCTCAAGCTGATCCTCTTAGTTTCAGTCTTTGTGTTGGAAAGATGCATATGCAGTATTAATCATGATGTTTTCCTTATGTTGTCTCAGAATCACTGCCACCGCAGTGGGTGAGGCCAGACAAGAGACACATCTACAGAGTTCCTGTCGGGAAGACGGTGAAGTTTCACTGCCAAGCGACAGGAAAGCCGCTTCCTGCCCTGCGATGGTACAAGAACGGAAAAGAGGTCAGGATGGACCAACGAGTCAAAGGCCTCTAGAAACAACTTCAGCTTGTAAAGCTTTACTTCACCCTTTCTGTATCTTTCTTTAATCTTGCAGATCAGAGACCACACATGGACTCTAATAAAGGAGTCAGTGGCTCCCTCTGATGAAGGGAACTACACCTGTGTGGTGCAGAATAGACACGGGACCCTCCAACACACCTATCAGCTGAATGTAATTGGTAAGATTATCTGCAGCATGTATACACGGCATACAGCATGCTTTATTGCAAAAACCAGATGGTTCCAGTACTTTGGACTGTGTGTGTCGACCATAACGCTGACCTTCGGTGGGTGTGTCCGAACTTTTCACTGGTCCTGTACAACCGCCCACACCATCAAGGAGGTTGTATGACTGATGGAGGCGGTTTGGCCTTAACAAGTAAAAATAAATGGCAGGTAGCTCCATGCCCTCCTGGGTTTTAATTGCACCTTAGATCACATATGCATCAACACTACAATGAGCGGGTGGAGGGAGGTTTGGAGTCTTCTCCCACCCCCATTCTCTGCGGCCTGCTGGAGCGGG